ATCCCCTAAGGAGTGCCGAGCCTGAACCTGCCCATGTTAGGATGATGGTACCCCTCCACCCCACCTGCAAAGCCAGCCTCTAAGGCACTCTGCCCCACAGGGCTCTGGGGCAAAAGGTGCCCGCTTCTTCCCCTCTGTTCTCAGCTCTGCCATCTCGCCCTTCAGTGCTGAGATGATGCACTGAATTCTTCTGAACCCTGCGCTGCAGCTCCTCGGCAGATCTCCTGATGGCGCTCACTCACACCATCTCTCTCTCCCTCTCCCCTTCTCTCTCAACCCCCCTCCTGTCTGTGTGCCCCCCCAGAAGCCTCGCTTGTCTGCCTCATGCCAGCCCTCCTGCCGCCCCCCATCAAGGGGCCCCGCTCCGCCTTCTACTCGAAGAGGTTCCCATCACAGGGTCCCTCCGGATGGCACACCTGCCCCACAGGAATGTGCCAGGATCCCCCTGGCAGTGGGCTGCACAACTCGCCTGAGAAAAGAAAGGGTGAGGGGGCTGGGTGGGGGGGCTGCAGCCTTGGGGGAGCACTGCTTCCCCCTCAGCCTCTAACTGCAAGCTGGGGGAGGGGGGGCAGCGGCAATTCATCCAGGCCCAGTAGAAGAGGAGTTGCTTTCTTATGCATCCAGAGCTAATGCCAGCTTGGGTTGGGGATTTGCACCGTGAGGGAGGGCTGTGAGGGAGGGCTGTCCGTCAGCCACACTCCGTTCCCCCCCCCCTTCCATTTTGCCCTTCCATTTTGCTTTCATCTCTCTCCACACCTTGCTTTCTCTCTGACTCAGCCCCACCGCCACACCTGAGAGGGCAGCCGGCTGCCTTGAAATGTGAATGGTTTGGCCTCAGATCTGAAACGTTATAGATTAAATAAGATGATAAAGGATCAAGGGGTTGATATTCTGTGTTTGCAGGAAACGCATAAGAGTAAGAGAGACGTAAGACCTTTGATGAAGTCTTCTGACTGGAGTTTGCAGATAGAGTCAAGGGGAACAAACAAAGCATCCCTCCCTCCCTCCCTGTCACCCTTTCCATGTGACTGATGGCAGGCCTCGTCTTGGCTGGAAGGGGCTCTGACAAGTTGATGCTTTTCGGTGCATGCACACCCCCTCAGTGGCACGTCCCAGGGCTGGTCATGCCCTGTCAATTTGCCTGAAGGCGCTCCTGGGAATGCCCGCCTGGCCCCAACGCCACCCCAGGGTGTCTTCTGGATCCGAACGGCATTGATAGTCATCATCCTGCGCTTCTGGAGCTGCCCTTTGGAAAACAGGGGAGGCTTTCAGGGAGGCGAGGCTCTCCTCTGCTTGTTGCTTTGCTGCCGTGTCCCCTCCACCCGCCCTCAACTCCCAAGGGCACTCCTCCAGGTCATTAGCAAATCCTCCATTAGCACCCTCCTCCCCTCCC